CACACCACTTTCGGTATATTTTCAGGTGTGGATTCATGAACTTCTCTAGCAACAAACAGTGTAAACAGTGCAGAGAACGACCTCCAAAGAGGCAACTGGAGCCTGGAGAATGGGAATGTCCCTCGTGCGTCTCTCTATCTTTCTCGATCTCTAATTTAGTAATCTGTTATCTTAATATCCTAAACCAAGCACTCTTCTCTCCTTGTCTTTATGTGTATTTTTCTGCAGATGTGACTTCTTGAACTTTAGGAGAAACTCTGTTTGCAAGAAATGCGAGTGCAAACGACCTAGCGAATCCAACGACCATTCATGGAAGCGACCCGCCTTAGTGTAAACTTTTGCTTTTGGCCTTACTGTAAACTTTTGCTTTTGGACTTGCCAAATTCACTGCTTGCTGTTATCTTTTAACTTGTTCTTTCTTATTTCGTTGAGTTCCCAAATTTCTAAACAGAAAAATAATACGAAGTAGAAAAATGGAAACTTAGTCTGTAGTCACATTCATCTTCAAAGCTATTTCACATATTTATGTGTAAACTGTCATCTCTGCTAGGAAACATGCTAAAGATTATACAAGCTTGAGGGGAAAAAAACCTGCAAGTTATCCGTTAGTGATGATAGACCTTAGCTACTTTACAAGAGGATTTCTATGAGAGACATAACATAATCTCAATAGTTGCAGCTTCTAAATCTTGTAACCGTTCTGCGGGTGCAACTACATCATCAGAACTGCATTCTTTGTTTGACGTTCCGGTAATATGTAGCGAAACCTGTCCTAGCTCCACACTGCGCGACTCCAATGCATCATCAGAGCAGTTTTCGCGTGTTCCAGTAAAAGTTTTCCTATCTGACGACTCTTCATCCAAGGACTTGGAACTGATCGATCATAGAGCTATCAAGCTTGCTTCTTGGACCAGCATATGTTTCCTTCACTGAACAAGCTAGATTCTTGCAGTCTTCCGGAACAATAAAAGAAACAGGCTTTGCCAGAAAAACCTTGTTGTTACTCGCATCAACCAAGGGTGACAATTGTTTCGCGGATGTCACAGTTCTATCAACCGAAGCAATGATGGCATCATGAGTTTCAGTCATAATACAGCAACTCTTGGGATAGCAACAGAAGTAGTGTCCTCTATTATATCTTCAATAGGAGGTTATGAATTCAGTAAGCAGATACTCTGTTCAACTTGAGAGAGTTCTCTCTCCTTTTTGAAAGGTGACCATCATCCTCGTGATCAGCTGTTCGAGCCATGGCTTCACAAGCTTTTATAATAATGCTTGAATCACATTTAGTCAGAGAGTTCCTCGTATTCCAATTGTAAATCTGAACTACCTTATCAATAGGCTGCTCAGAAGAAACAGAAGAACAACAATGGATATCCTTAAGCTATTTACATCATCCGAACAAACATTCAAAGCGAGAGTTGAAAGCAAGCATAAGTACAAAGTAGTTTTAGTTTAAACAAACCATTCACCATATGAAATGGCTTGAGATAAAAAAAAAAAAACAAGACTTGAGAACGAGCATAATTAGAAGTATTAGATTAGACAAACAATTCACCATATGAAATGATACCTTTAGAGAAAAAAAGCAACACCACATGAGCCAAGTACTCTTCTTCATAGTCGTCTAGATTCTCATTCAGTCCTCATCTTCTTCAACTTACTTGCAGTTTCCCTACAAATGTTTTAGAATCGGCCAATAAGACAATGAAGAAAATGTATTGATAGAGGGGGAGAGAGGCAAGGATGCTTACTTCCTTTGTAAGTGCATGTTCGTTACCCTTGAGATGCGTGGTGAAAATTTCAAAGCTTTGGCAAGGAAACTTGCATAGCTTGCAAAAACACATGGGAGATTCAGTAACAGGATCCTGAAGAATCTGTCTTCTTCTTGTCTCCTGTTTGTTATCTAAAATAACAAAATCTTCTTTCAGTAAGAAATCCCAGCGCCACTGTGCAGAGATCTCCATGTTATTTCTAGACAGATTACGTTTATATGCCACAAGAATGTTGCATTTGCCCTTGTAGCAATGCAAGAGGGTATTCGAGGCATGCCAAACCAAGGGAATCAGATATGGCCATTATTGTAAGCTCCTGCTCATTAAAACCTTCCCAATTATAAAACAAATACGACACAATGCTTCCAATACCTGTTTCAAAGAAAACCCTAACTTGTAGTTCAAGTTATACGAAATATAAACCCTAATTTTGTGAGAAATAGATAGAGAAAAGAAGAGTAACTGTGGCCGACGTGCTTAAGAACGATTCCAGAGGAAGAGAGGCCTCGCAGGAATTTAACAGGGACCTCATCAAGGTTGCCAATGGCAGTGATGGTGAGAGGACCAATGTAGCCTAATTTCATCAATGCAGAGTCTATTCTCCGACCGATCCGACAAGGATCATAATCGGAGGGAAGCGGACACCTGTTGATGTCCCAAAACACTACCGTTTTAGATTCCGCGTGCTCGGGCTTCACCGCCTTGCGTATCTTCATCGGTTTGCCTAACCTTCTTTTTCACCATCTTTTGATCTGAAACGCCAAGAAAGGACAGAAAAGAAAGATGGAGACGCCTATGAGAGGAGGATGATTTAGGGTTTCTTTCAACTTTATTTATGGACCTATCTAATTGTTGTGTCAATTAAAGAATCTGATGATTATGTTCACCGTCAATTTCTCTACCCGAACAAATTTTTTATTGTCAAGTCTGACACCTAGCTGATTTCAGTATGAACAAAGTATTATAACAAATAATCTATATGGACCGTATGTTTTACCGTTCGAGGCTCTCTCTCCTCTCAGTTTCCGAATCGAGGTACGAAGCTTGAGACGCAAAGAACTATTTCATTTCACTCTTCTTGTTATGATTTAGAATCTTGCTTAGATAGTCGCCAAAGACTTATATAAACTTTCACTTCGTTGGTTGTTTGTGATATTTCAAGTGTGATTGGCATAATACTCTTATTAGATGTTTGTTCTTTAAAACCGTTTTTAGGTCTCACAATAGGTCCATGTGTGAAGATAATAGATAAGTTTGAGTTCATTTTTCAGATCAGTCTAATTCAAACTATTGGTTACAGAGTGCAGACTATTCCCCGTAGTCATTGTCTCGTCAACGATTGCCACCACCGTACCTCTATTTACCATTCATTGTTGTCCGGTTCAACGTCCTCATCAGTCATCATAGGTAAGTAATCATAGGTTCTTCTCAAGTTTTATTCATAGTGATTGTTTGTTTCTATATTAAGATAGTTCCATCGCTTTCTGATTTTTAGGTTCATTGGTTTCAAATTTTTTCCTATATATATTTTCAAAATAACATTTAGTCTTCTAACTTGTGTTTTCTTTGTGAAATTTAATCAAGCGTTGCCTTATACTCCTAACAATGCATCAACATTCCCAATAAGCATCAACATCATACCCTTAACTTATTAGCAAACAATAACTAATCACCTCCTTTACTCGGTTCTTCAAGTGTGTAGAAGAAGTTGGAGCAGCCTCTATTTTCATGGTTTGACCATTGTTTTTCCTTATAATTAGTTTTCTTAGCATCGGCTATCTTGCTGCTGTTACCCTTACTTCTTCCTCTGTTTTGTTCCTCTTTTTCCAGTCGTTGAAGAATCTATTGTTCTACAACATCGTCTGCTTATTTATTAATTTCTTCAGTAAGTCTGTCTCTTTTTCTAAATTCTGTCTGATTTGACTTCCATATTAAAAATTTTCCTTAATATTTTGGTTTTGCCTTCCATCAAACTAAATGTTTGTAAGTTTCTCAATTTTAAATATATCATGATAGTTTGTAAAATTTTCACACATTTGATGAGAGTGGAATTTGTTTTCACATTTCCAGATCATTCTGACATGATATTTTCAGAGGTTATCTTTGGTTATTAGAAGAAATTGTTTAGCGAAACGTGTGGATGTGATCTTGTGTCATATTTGTGTTTGGTATACAAAGTGTTGTCTACTAATGTAAACCATGGGGTGTCACTTAGAAGTGGGGATATGTTTGTGAGAACAATTGTTCTTCCATTCTAAGGTTCGCTCATTTGTCTTATGCTACAAAGTAGAGATGAA